TTATTGAGTTTGGAAATATGACAAGAAGAAATAACAAGCAGGTGCCACAATATGTATAGTGATACAAAGTCAAGTCTTGATGGAGTGTAGGGCATAAGAGGGAGAGACAGGCCAAACAAAGCTTTGGCAGTGTTGAAACAAATTATGGAACACCTTGAATTCTACAGGACGTTATCTGGATTTTTATAGACAAGAAAAGGGCTTTTAGTAAGCCAGGCCCAAAGAAACATAGATCCCATGGTTTCCCTTATTTGCAATAACTAGCATATGTCTGACACAAGCAGAAAAGGTCAAAAGCTATGCACAGGGCTGAGAAGGTGGCTCAGTGGTAGAGCACTTGCCTTGCATGCATGAGGCCCTGGGTTTGATTCCTCAGCACCACATAAGCAAAAAGAAAAAAGCCGGAAGTGATGCTGTGGCTCAAGTGGTAGAGCGCTAGCCTTGAGCTGAAGAGGTGAGGGACAGCGCCCAGGCCCAGAGTTCAGGCCCCACGACCAGATCCCCCCCCCAAAAAAGCTATGTACATATGATCATATAGGATGATGCTAAGTGAAATGGACCCCAAAATAAAGACACAACTGTTTTTTCTTTCTTGCTATTGTTTTTAACGTATTTATAATGCACTATGTGATTTTTTGTTTCTTTTGTATGTTCTTACCCCATGGTATAACCCCTGTTTTCACTGTATTTGGTGTTGGTGTCCTGCATCTTATATATACATTTTTTTCCTAATTTGGGGAGGGGAAGGGAAATAACAAAATGCCGAAATAAGGATATAGGTTGACCCATTGTAACAATGAGATGTACAAGACACTATGTTGAAAACAAACTTTACAACTTGCAGGGGAGAGGAGTTGAGGAGTTGGGGAGGAAAGGGATGGTAGGGGATAAACAAATGCTCTATAGGAAATGTACTCATTACCTTACTCATGTTACTGCAACCCCTCTGTATTTTTTAACCACTCTATTTTTACAATTGAAAAAAAGAATAAAAAAGAGAGGGGAGTGATAGGACCAGTGCTTTTAATTTAGAGGCATATAAGTTGCTCGAATTTATTTCCTTTGGAATTATGGTATGTCTGAAACAGGGTGCCAGGGCATAGGACGAGTCCTTTGTTGAATTGGTGTGACTTAAATGGGAAATATTTTATTTGATTCTAGCAGCCCATAAATTTGAGAAACTCTCATTTTCTAACATTTGCAAGCATGTTTTTAGATTTTGTAAGAAACAAAATATTTCTAACTCAAAAACTTCTCATCAATTAGTGGCAGCTAAAGTAATTGTTGTTCTGGTGAAATACATAAGATTGACACATTGAATTTATAATAAAATAATGTTAAATTTCATCTTCCAACCATCAACCATCATCAAGAAATACAGTCTCCTTAGATGAACAGAAGTATGGGCATTAGTGTATGTACATGTAAATAGATACTTTGTTTTTTATATATGTTATATCTTTTATCATATATATTATATTGTTTATCTCAGTCTATTAATTAGAAAAGAACTATAAAGAATTCTATAGGGAATTCTGGGCATATTGTTAACTCTGTGTATACTTCAAAGAGCATGCACTCATAATTAGGCATATTTGGTAAGCCATTTCAATAAACTAATGAGTTTCTTTTAGTAAAGGAAGGTCATTTCATTAGCTAGTGCTTCCATCAGTGAGGTCATCTAAGGCTGTCTTCAGTCAGTATTCATGAAGCTCTATGGTAGGTAAAAAATCCCAAGAAATGTGCCATATAATGATTTTTTAAAGAAGTTGTGTTCTGAAAGATGCTCAATTCGCTGTGAATTCAACTCCACAAAATGTAACTACACCATACGCAAAGTATTTTTAGATGGCAGTTCACTGTGACAATTTAGGGACAGGAACATTTTTATAGTGTGCATCAATAACCATAGGTCTAAAGCCATTAGAGGTTCTATTTGCACTGTAACATATATTAATTTTTTTTCAGTCATGGGGCTTGAACTCTGGGCCTGGGTGCTGTCCCTCATTTCTTCAGCTCAAGGCTAGCACTCTAGCACTTGAGCCACAGCGCCACTTCAGGTTTTCTGGTAGTTTATTGGAGATAAGAGTCTCGTAGACTTTCCTGCCTGGGCTGGTTTTGAACCATGATCCTCAGATCTCAGCCTCCTGAGTAGCTAAAATTACAGGTGTGAGCCACTGGCGCCTGGCTACATATATTAATTTATTGTTTCACAAAGTTATTAATAAGTAGGCTGGAAGGTGGCTCAGTGGTAGAGTGCTTACCTTGCACGCATGAGGCCCTGGGTTTGATTCCTTCGCACCACTTAAGCAGAAAAAGCTTGAAGTAATGTAGTTCAAGTGGTAAAGTGCTAGCCTTGAGCTGAAGAACCGAGGGACAGCACCCAGGCCAGAGTTCAAGCCCCACAACTGACAAAACAAAACAAAACAAAACAAAAACAAAATTATTAAGAAGTGACAATTTCCTTAGGTTAGTATACCCCCACAGCTACCTCAATAGCTGTACTTGCTGGTTGTATCACTCTGTTTAGCTTGTCTTTATGAAACTTAATAGTAACATACAAAATTATAATTCAAACAATAAAGACATTTATTCTCTCATTTTTAAAAATTTCTACCTGAATTTATTTTCAGTATGGATAGATAGTTTAATGTTTTGGTAGTCCTATTCAGATATGTTCTTTTTGTTTTTGTTTTTTGAGGATAGAGATTTGATTCATTTAGTGGGGTTTCATTGACAATTCTGTTGTTCATTAGCTCTATGCTTTTATGCAAATATTCAGGTGTTCTTAATGTTTTAATTATCAATATGGTTGGCTCAATGTTACATTAGAGCCAATACAACAAAATACTGTTTCTTTATCTGCCTTTATCTGATTGCTACTGAAATTTTATGAACTGCCTATATATTGTAGATATTCTGTCCTAAAAGTATTGCAAAAACATTATGTTTTATTTTCCAGAATGAATTTTAAATGTCTGACAGAAATGTTAAAATGAATTTTGATTTTAGAAAACTTAGTGTTGTATTTGCCCTAAAAGGTACAAATTCTGTAAAGAACTTCAAGAAATCTCTACCGTTCGTTTCTATAATGAGCATCTGTGGTTTGATATATGTATTTGCTAGTTAAAAGGCATTTTTCATGTCAGAGGTGTTCATTGAACTTTACAATGATTTCTATTGCTTAAGAAATATCTCCTCCATAGGTCCCATGGTTTCCCTTATTTGCAATATCTAGTATATGTATGAGTCAAGCGGAAAAGGTCAGATAATGTGATGTCAGGAAAATGAACCCTTAGATATGTATTTTAATGTTTTTTTCTTTCATGCATGTGTTTCTAACACATTTATAAGATTATCTCTTTGTTGCTTTGTATGTCCCTCCCCCACAGTATAACCCCTGCTTTCACTATATTTGATGTCAGTATAACTTGTGGAGGAGATGGGGAAAAACCAGTTGTTTAAGGATACAGGTGGACCTGTTGCAACAATGAGAAGTACAAGTTGTCATGTCCAAAACGAGCTTTACAACGTCGGTGCGGGGGCGGGGAGGGGGGAGGAAGGGAGGGAAGGAGAAGGATTGGGATTGGGGGGTAGGGGGGAGGCTGGGAAGGGAGGTGAAGGGTAAACCAAAGGAGGAGGCTGCAATGCTTGGTAAGAAATGTACGCATTATCCTGCCCATGTAATTGTAACCCCTCTGTACAGTATGTTCACAAATAAAATAAAATTAAATTAAAAAAAAAAAAAGAAATATCTCCTCTAGCAAAGTTCAAAAACTTTACCACATTCTGTTATTTGGCTTATGGTTAAAGGCCTATGATAAAATCATTTCCTTTAAAGATACATTTTATCATGATGTAATCAAAGTATACTGAATCTGATGAGAGGAAACAAGAAAATGAGAAATTGAAGACTCGTAGTTTTTAGAGTAAAACTTCAGTGATATAAAACTAAATATAATAGCTTTGAAACGTAAGCATTGGTGTATTTCAAATTGTTCCTTAAGCTTGTTTCTTTTATTATTTTTAGTTGGGAGGTAAGGATATAACTCTTTCAGGTTTGCATTTTAAAGCTTCAGAAATAGATGAGTGAAAAGAAAGTAAAATGGTAGTTCTGTGATGGAATTATCTGGACGATTCAAATTAAAAGTTAAATTATATCCATTTTGCCATATTCTTGCCCTACATTTTAAATGTATATTAATTAGATTTTACTAAAGAGGTCATTCCGAAGTTAAAATATGATTTGTGATTCTGTCTTTACAAAGTTTGCCTCTCATTTTCCCCTTTCTATATTGATCTCTTTTCACATTGTGGATGAAATGAAATACAGGTTTTTCAACAGTTCCTATAGCGTGACTGAAAAATCAAAATTGTCTTATTCTCAGGAATTAAATGTTGGCTCTCTTGTAGTATCTTTAGGAGCAAGTTAACAGTGGTGGTTTGTGGTATTCACAAACTGAAAATATTAATGCATACATTTTCCCACACTTTAAAAGCCAGAACAAGTCTCTACTTATCATTGTCACTAAAGCTTTGACCTTGAAAAAAGAAAGGTGTTTCTCATTGTTTTATGCATTGTTATCTGGAATATTTTACAGCTCTTTTGGCCCTCAAGAGATACTATTTAAAATAATTTTATTTGGATGAAAGATGAAATGAGAATTTGTACCAGGGTCATATTTTTCTTTACACCATTCCTAGTTTTCAATCAAAACTGTCTTTGGGATATTGTACTACTGGTTTATTTATTTGTCTGTCTCTATCTTATTTCTTAAATAATAACATTACCTCAGAGATACTTGGGAATTATATTGCATCATTTTGGGGGACAGTAGTCAAACATCCTCCAGCACCCCTGACTGCTAAATGAATTGTATCAAATTGAACCAATTTGAAGAAATGGAAATTATAGAAATTCCCTAAGTTCCAATTCAACTATTGTTTTAAGGTGCTCCAGGAGTTAAAGTCCTGGAAACTAACCATTTGATTTATTTCAGGTCTTTTCCAATGGTCACCTTGGAAGTGAAGAATACGATGTTCCTCCTCGGCTCTCTCCTCCTCCTCCACTTACTGCCCTTCTTCCTAGCATAAAGTGAGTCTTCCTCGTTTCAATCTAACAGAATCATTTGTTCATGTGCAGAGATATGAGAAAGAATGATTTTGTGTTTCTGAATACAAAAAACTAAAGGGTGAACAAAGAGAAATAAACAAAGACAATGCAATTCATTCAGATTTGTGAACTCAAGTACCAGAATTCTTTTTCAGTTCTTTGTTAGTAATCATGGATTTGATGCTTATTCGAATCTAGACTTCTTAAAAAGTAGTGGACAATAAAAGCTTCGTGTTTCCTGCTCTAAGAAAGGGTACAATAAGAACAGCTCAGTGAGCTTTCTCTCCCTCCCCTCCAACTTAAACCTCTTTCTCAGTGGTGTTTCATTTTATCTCCACCCCTGGTTTGAATCTGAAGTAGTCTTTGGTTACTACAAATTTTCGGTTTCTCAGATCCATTTACCCACTCATCACTGTTCTTTTGGCAATTTTTTTTCCTGATTCACCTAATCTTTCCATTGCCCCTTTGCCTTCTACACAGCTAGATGGCTGGAAGCCTTAAGCTCTGGTCACTTCAGATTTTCTATCAGAGGATTTTTAACTAGAAAATGAGTTACCTCATTGTGTCTCTTTTGAGAAATGGGTACTCAGACACACTGGACAGTTGAGCAGTATGCATCCCCATTAATCCAGGCTGAAGCCCTGTACCCCTGTTTTTACTTTCTTGCTCTTCATGTGAGGCAGGCTGCATATAAATTCTTCACAAGAATTTCATTCACTGCATCCAATTTAATTTAGTTTTCATTCTGCTTTTTTCAGGTGTCCTTCCTTCTCCAAACCATCAATGTCTCCTTTTTTTCTAATAATTAGCTATTTTCAGTTAACCATCTTGCCTTGCAGTAAGGTCCGACAGAATTTTACCCAAATAGATATTTTGCAACGCTCATTGTATAGTCATGTCTGTGTATCCTTTCTCCCTCGGTGAGTTGGAATATGCCTCCCTTCTATGCTCTCCCTTTTCAGAAACTCCATCCTAAAGGCCCATAACTCAGGATCTGTGTTTTAAAACTGGTGTGACTTCTGTTTAATGGTTAAGACTAATGTTTAATTTATCTTCCTACAGTTTATTTTCTGCACATATAATTATGTATTATGTTGTAATGTTTGCTAACTTGAGAAAAAGCTATACAGTTTGGGGAAATATCTGTATTATTTAATTCTTTCATAGAGAATTCTTGATTGATTTGACTTTTATTTGGTAGGACTCCCAATCATTGTCATCATTATTATTATTATTATTAATCATTCTCTGCTGGGAACTCAAGACAAAGTTTTATACAAGCTAAGCAAACATTCTACTACTACATACACCTCAACCAAAGAAAGATTTTTGTTTATTTTGGAAAATCTCAGAGCTTCTTCATTCCTCCATTTATAGGACCCTGAATTCGAACTATATATGTGAAAAGAAGGGGAAGATAAATCTAAGGCCCCAAGGAATGTAATGTGCACTTTAGAAAATATTAAGAAACATGAAGAAATATTAAGAAACATGAAATTAGAGGACTTGTATGATATACACTGGGTAGATATATATACACACACACACACACACATACACATATAGATCTAGATCTGTCTATATATCTATCTATATCTATCTACCTACCTACCTATCTATCTATCTATCTATCTATCTATCTATCTATCTATCTATCTATCTATCTATCTATCTATCTATCTATCTATCTAGTCTATATGACTTTGAGGGATTGTTGTAGATGGAAGCATCCTGAATCCCTAGGATGGACATGGGTAGATAAGATAGTGCCTGAGAAGAAGCAAGAGTGTGAAATTTCACATCATTCTGGAGACAGCGGGGAGCCCAGACCATTCTTCAGAGGAAACTTTTTCTTGGAAAAAATCCAGTACTTAGCAGACACTGGAGATAGAAGTAAGCGCACCTTTCCGTGTGGTGGGCTGTAAAATCTGTGAAAACATATGTGATATGCTAGCCCCACATAAACTCTAAATGTATGAATAAGTAATAAGACATCATAGTTACCTCTGTAACTTCAGAGAACTTCAGAGAATGAAGTAAGTAATAAGACATCATAGTTACCTCTGTAACTTCAGAGAACTTCAGAGAATGAAGTAAATAAATTCAGATTCCATCCATTAAATTCATATTATTGCCAAGTATGATTAGAGATTGCAGGTTGCGTTGTTAGTACTCGATATTAAGCAGCTACTTCTGTGAGTCAGACAAGAACTAAATTGTGGTAAACTGTATTTTACAGGTATTTTCCTACTGTTTCAGTTTGTAAAAGCACCTAAGATCAGCCATAGAGTTATACTTTATCCCTCAAAACATTGTAATTATTTGATTTAGCTACACAAATATTTTGATAAAGAATGCTAAACAGCGGATTCATTTTCTAGTGCAAGTGCTATAAAATTATTATCTGTAAGTAGTTGTACAAGGGAGTTGCCATTTGAGAAAGCAGTTTATGCATCTTGATCAGTGTCACTCCTTTCAATGTAGATTTTAATGGCCTATTGATATTTTTCTCTTGTTATCTGAAAATGTTCTACAATACTGTACCTTATTTCTTTAGGATATTTTTTCTTGTGCTTTGTCATCTGGAAATGGGCCTTTACACTTTTACAATAGTAGCCATAAGCATTCAAGTACCTTTGAACCAATCAGTGTTGCTTGGCTCAAATGATGGAGGTGGAGTTGTGGGTTATTTTACATTTTCAGTAGTTAGGTACAGATATTTGAAGTTTGTTGAATAGAGAATCCAAATCTTGCCTAGCAATCCTATTTCTTTTTAGTTGCTATACTGATTAGAATCCACAAGAACAAGATAAAATCCTTTGTGCTCTAGTTATGGAGAACAGAATATAATTATAATGTTGTTGGCCATTGGTGATTGTTGGGAGGGAAAATAATGATACATGGGTCTTTACTTTAGATGAGATGCTTAGGGAAGAACTCTTTGAGAAGATACTATTTAAACATGAAACCAAAAATCCTAAGGGATTAAACAATGAATTTATTCAAGTGAAGAGCATGAATATAGGAGAGCAGAGTACAGGGTGACTTCAAATCCTTACTCTCATTTGAAAGCTACACAGTAAATTGCTTTCTATTAAAGCATACTTTCTTATTAAAGCATAATGTTATACTGTGCTATCTTCTCTTAATGCCTTGAATGAACCTTTAACACAAATTTGCTGATTTGAGGAAATGACACATAGTTAAATTTTGTTTTATTTCTTCTATAAGCTAAGTGATTTCTGTTAGGAGTGTTTCTTTCTAGCGTTAGAATAACATAGCATAAAAATATAGACTGATAAGTGGCAAACTTGAATTTCTATTTTCACAAAAGTATTCCTATCTTCTAACCTTCAGATGTTATGAAATGAAGAAAGATTATTACATGTAGGAAATAAGCAAAATGATGTATGGCACTTAAAATTTTTCTCACCTAGTGAAGGTTTCTACCAATGATTGATCTTTTTCCCTTCTACCATAGTTACTGACTTCTCTCATAACCATTCATTACTTTTGCTTAAAGTCTTGTAAGTATTCAATATCTTGCATACATACTGTGCCTTAATGGACTAGAGTTCTCCCCTTAAACATTTTGTAACTCAAGACAGAAATGGAGTAAAATATAGTTTAGAAAGATGTATCAATGAATGGACATAAACTAATATCCATAATAGAAATATTAAGTTCAAAGACAAACATGGGACAATTTCTTATGAATTTTTTAATAAACAGAGTAGAGGTGGATCTTTTTGTTTTCTGGGTTTTTTTTCGAGAAGTTTGGTTGAGTAATTTAAGTACCCCAATCGCTCAGATCAGGAAAGAAAATAACTTGATAAGGGTAGTATATGTTTGACATGTACATGATAATGGATAAAGCTAATGGGCTAATAGAATATGAAGAAAATCCACCCAGTGGAGTTGTGCCTTATACCAGGAATACAAAATGCTCTAGAGGAATGTGTTTGTCAGCCTTCAGTTTGAAATGTAAGTCACTAACTAAAGTAAACCATTATATCCCTATGTGCTGACCTAAAAATTCATCTTATTTTTACAAAACTTTATGGGAGGGAAAGTGATGCTTTAAATTCTGTTCTAATTCCATCAAGTCCCAATTTACTGTCCCATGTACTCACTTTCAACTGACAAGTATTTCACCCACGGTTAAACCTTAGTGAGCATGAGCCCGAGGTTATTAATGAAGCTCTTAGCTTGTGCTCTGGGCCATCATATCAGACCTTCTGTCACTGTGTCACCGCTTCCTCTCACTCCTAAGTCCTTTGATTTTAAGGTAGCTCTGGTAATCAATAATCCAGAGATTAGTATTGGAAACTGCTTCAAAGAGAGGCAAAAATAAACTTGGAAATTTCTAGGAGATTTGTGTATTTGTATACACTTGGAGTACACAAATTTGTGTACACAAATCCCTTTGATTTGTGTTCTTCCTAGAAACTTAGATATGTTGTTGAAACACGGGCATGGTTAGTGTCTCCTTGTACCGGTAAACATTAAACAGTAAAAAGTTGTTTTCCTTCTAACTTCTTGTTGAACATCACTGTCCTGAAAGTCCAAAAACCTCAAAATCCTAAACTACCTTCTTGTTACATTGGGCATACTCAACTGGTAAAATCTTTGCAAGTATTCCACCTTTTAAAAAAAGTTAAAATCCGAAACACATCTAGTCCCAAGCATTTCACATAAGTGATAACTGAACTTCTAGTGAGAAGAAAAAAGTTACTTTTGGCATCAGGGCTTTTTATACCAAAGGTTGCTTGCTCCCTCTAGAGTAGGTGCTGTGAATTGCAATCACTTTAATTTTTTTTTTTTTTTTTTTGGATCAAACTTATGGGGAATCTAGCCAGTTAGCAAAATTATTTGATCCTTGTGTATTTCTCTTGGCCTGCAAGACTCTTGTTTGTCTTACCGTTGGATAGATTGAGTTTGTACATATCTCTTTTAGCATTTCTCTTTGGCTTCAGCAAAATGAGATTAATTTGCAATAGCAAGAGCTGTGAAATATAATCAGTTCTTGTTTGCTTGTTTCCATTTATTTTCTCTTGTAAAATGTTTCTAAAATTCTTTTGATGTTAGATTATTGTTGTAATCATTTTCATTCTCTTTTATTTAGACAGGCATACTAAGTCATATCAATAATGTACTCAAAAGACTTCACAAATTCTCTCATTTCCTTTTAATTATTCAATCCATTTTTAGTTGTTAATTGTTGTTGAGGGGAAGAAAAGAACAACTTGTGAATTGTTATTTCATAAGAGAGCTTAAGTTTTATTGATTTAAAAGTAGATTTTTTTCCTTACTGACATTTAAAATTATAAGTATGAAAAATCTTTTATCTCATAAAGAAAATCTTAACAAAAGGTTACAAAGCATTTCCATTTGTATTTAGGATATGAACATATCAATTACCCTGTCAATGAAAGATGAATGTGATCAAATAGCTTTTTTGATTTGAGTATGTCATACCAGACTGTCCTGTCTGAATATTTATTATGCTTAAACGAGATTGGATTTTTTTTTCTCCCCTTGGTAGGTGTACTGGTCCATTAGCAAATTCTCTTTCAGAGAAAACAAGAGACCCAGTAGAGGAAGATGACGATGAGTACAAGATTCCTTCATCTCATCCTGTTTCCCTGAATTCACAACCATCCCATTGTCATAATATAAAACCTCCAGTTCGGTAAGAATATGAGTAGCCTGTTTCACATGAACATCTGCATAAGCATTTGTCATTCCTATAGTTCAATCACATGTACTGGACTAAATCCTTGGTTTCTTACTCAAAACCTCTTATATACTATTTTCTTCTTCCTTTCCCAGAAAACACGTGGGTTAATAAGAATGAATAAATACTCCATGCATTTTCTATAGCCATTTTAATGAATTTTATCCATTTCAAGCACGTATGCTCTGCAGAAAAACTAGTGCTGAGGATCTGATGCAAAGGTTACATCAGCCCTCTTTAGAATTTGTTTTTATGATGTATAGAATAGTGTAATTTATATTGATTTCCTTCCCTGGCTCTTCCTACCCTTTTTAAAAAAAGAAAAGAAAGGAATGAAAAAGAAAGGAAACTGGGGTACCTATGGCACAAATCTGTAATTCTAGCTACATAGGAAGCTGATATCTGAGGAGTATGGATTATAGCCAGATCTGGCAGGAAAGTCCATAAGACTCTTACCTACAATTAATCACTAAAAAGCCATAAGTAGATCTGTGGCTCAAGTGGTAGGGAGCTAGCCATGAGCAAAAAATGAGTTTAGTTACAATACTCAGTCCCTGAGTTCAAGCCCAAGGACCTACACCAAAAGAAAAACAAACAAACAAACAAAAAAAGGAGTAACAAGTTACTTTTTTTTAACTTTAAAAGAAATGAAGTTCTGTCTGGGTACCCATGGCGCCTGTGCCTATGACCCTAGCTACTTAGGAGGCTGAGATCTGAGGATCCCAGTTCAAATCCAGCCCAGGCAGCAAAGTCTATGAAACTCTTATCTCCATTAACCTATCAAAAAAGGCCAGAAGTAGATCTGTAGCTGTAGAGTGTTAACCTTGTACAAAAGAAGCTCAAGTACAGTGCCTGGGCCCTGATTTCAAGCCCCTGGTCCAGCACCAAATATCAAGTTCTGTTTTACCTTCTATTGGATCAGATAAAAGTATATATAAAGCGGGCTGGGAAGTTGGCTCAGTGGTAGAGCGCTTGCCTTGCATGCCTGAGGCCCTGGGTTCGATTCCTCAGCACCACATAAGCAAAAAGAAAAAAAAAAGCTGGAAGTGGCGCTGTGGCTCAAGTGGAAGAGCGCTAGCCTTGAGCTGAAGAGCTGAGGGACAGCGCTCAGACCCAGAGTTCAGGCCCCACGACCGGACCCCAGAAAAAAAAAAAAAAAGTATATATAAAGCATAATAGTTTTTTATGTTTTTTTTTTTTTTTACTATATGATATCCTTGGAGTGTGAAGTATTAGCCACATTTAGATACAGTAAGAATTAATAAGAGTTTTGTGTCTTGAAACATTACTTTGTCTTTAAGAAAAAGCATGATTCTTTGTGTATAAATGAGCTAATAAACTACAGTAATATTTATATACTTTTAATCTGACTGACATATATGAGGTACTAAGTAATGAAATCTTAGTTTCATGCCTAACTTTCTGAGTTCTAATTCCTCTCACATAACAAGCCTGAACCTGGGCATAGCTTGTAATATGAAGCTCAGAGGCCCTGCTATGCAAAGTCTCTTGATTGGCTTAGGAAGGGAGATACATTCCTCAGTGCCACTTCAATGTGCCATTTCCTTTTGAGGTTAAGTCAATGGACTCAAAGAATTTTATGAGAGTTTTCCCTTTTTTCTAGATGAAAAGACTAAAAAGTGTTTCAGTCTTCTACTTCAAGTATCTTATTGAAACAGAAAATGACATACCTGCAAAAGAGAAGCAAATCATTATTTTAACTAGAGATCTGTCTTAATAATTGATTCTGCTTAGGATTTTTAGTGCTCGGCAGAAATATTAACCAAGATTAAGTTACAGTCTACTTTCCAGGCCTTCATTTTGCAAAGCAAGAACCAATGCTGTTCTGCTAATTTCTGGTGTTTAAGACATTTGTTGATAAAGTAGTATCACTGAAAAGACAAAGAAAGAGCTGCAAGACAATTTGTTATATCAGAAGAACCCAGTGTCTACTTAATAATAGATCTAACATCTATGGAGAAAATATTCATTTTCATCAAGTATAAATTCTTACAGATTTCCATTGCTTTAGCTCCTATAAATAACAATTTTTAAAAACTGAAATTGGGTAAGCTTTTTTTGTGTCCTTGGGAATCTCATTTTTCCATGTCTGGCAGAGTGAGGGGTGCAATTTTTACATGCTACATTTTAATTATCCACATCACAGTGGATGAGATTTTGGTGGCAGGCCTCCTGGATCCTAAAAGTAAATTTGAATTATCACCATCATTACCATCTTTTTACTGTGATGGAGAAGTAATAAATGTTGATAATCCCTAGGCTTAATTGTGTTGAATTTTTCATCTAACTGTTCTTGAAAGCTGATGAATGAAGTATCTTCTGTCCTCTCCAAAGCACTCTTTGAGATTAACCCTTCCTTTCCCTGTATATTTCCCCTGCTATGGAATATCAAGAAAAGTCAATTGTCAATATAAGGGCAAATGAAATGGTCAATGAATACTTCAATTTAGTTTCAGTAGAAAAAAATCCATCATCATTATGAAGATTTAATACATGCTAACTATTTTTAAATGAACCATATCTTGCCTCTTAAAGAGAAGTGGCCACCAGGGAAAATAGAAATGAATTTCAGATAAAGCACTCTTGCAGTAGCTAATCAAATATCCACCATCTCCTCCATTATGTATATACTTTTACTTTGCTGTAAAAATTCAGAGTAATTCATAGAAAAATGAAATGGAAACTTTGCTTTCCCTAGTTTACTGTTAGATGATGGTTGATTGCTCTATAGCATGATGCTGATGTGTTAATGGCCATACCTACGTATCCAGACCCTCCACTGTCTTCTCCTGTCCCAAATTTATCCCTGTGTTCACAGTGGAAGTGTACAGTATCATACCAACAGTGAACAGGCTTTGTGGTCAGTGAATATTGCTTTGTGCAGACACCCACTTTAAAATATTTATTATGTTCCTAAGGCTACTAGTAAAGTTGTATCATACAACCAGTCTTTTGCTGTCCTCAGAATAAGTTTCACTACAAACTCTAGGTCTTTGACTATTCCTGTCAGAATTATAATGGAATCATTGAAAGTTGAAAAGTTTTCATTCCTTTTTATAAGCTCTAGTTTGTTTATTTGAATGAGGCTCAAGTTATATGAAATCTAATATTCTGTACCATTAACAAATAATGAAGTCATTGGAACTGTCAAATATTTTTTGTCTTGGCACATACTTTACAATTTTATTTCTGAAACTCAACCAGATATTATTAAATTTCTCTTATAGAGGTATGTTAATGTCATAGATGTGGTTTTGGTATTTACAGATTATATAGCCCTTGTATGATTTTAACTTTTGAGAGGGTAGTGAGGAAGGAGACTGACTGTTGGTCTTTTGTAAGGTATTTAATTCTGATTTCTAAAGCAGAAGAAAGAATATGTATAGCTATTACTGATAGTTTCCAGAAAAGGAGTATATATTTATTTTTAAACTTTATTATAGAAACAAGGATGCTCGTTCCCTCTACCCATACCCCTGCCAATAACTTTGAGATGGAATTTCAAATCCTGATGTGTTTCATGCTCTCTGATCTCTGCTGTAGGTCTTGTGATAATGGACATTGTCTGTTGAATGGAACACATGGTATGTCTTCAGAAATGAAGAAATCAAACATCCCGGAGTTAGGCATCTATTTAAAGGGTATGTATGGCATAGATTGTTCCTTATGCTCTCCAGCTCAATGGTCAGAATTTAAAGGGTAAATTCCACACCATTGTTTCTCTGAAAATACATGAAGATTTTGTGTTATCCTCTAGGAGATGTTTTTGATTCATCTTCTGATCCAGTGCCATTACCACCTGCCAGGCCTCCAACTTGGGACAATCCAAAGCATGGTTCTTCACTCAACAAGACGCCCTCTGATTATGATCTTCTCATCCCTCCATTAGGTTGAAATTTTAAAGAAATTTTGAACAACCTCCCCATATCTTCTCTCCATATTTGCATTATTGCAACTCAGAATTCAGTGTAATTACAGATACACTGGGCTATGAATTTGTTTGGAATGAGAGAGTGGATGCTGACTTCCATGTTCACGTGACCATTGCTTTATTTACATGCTTAAAACAAAGGATATGTGTGGCTTGCGATAAGAGTGCTGGCCAAATATATGCAAGGCCTAGTTTCAAATCCTAGCACTACAAGAAAACAAAGCAGATGACTGAAATCAGAGCATATGAAGTTGTGAAATCAGAGATAACTCTTACATTATTTTCCCTAGTCTTGTATATATCTCTATTTTGATTTTTTTCTCAGTTACAGAAAACTAAGAACACATTCAGTTTTAGGTAATTATTACAACTACAGCACAAATTTATTTCTTTCAAACTGTAAGAAACAAGTATGTTTGTGACTATAAGTAAAGATACACTTAGTTGTATATCTATGTTAAAGTTTGTGGATTCCATTGTTATTGTTAATTTTATTCTAGGTAAGAGCATTCTCATGCTAATTTTAGAGGAAGAAAAATAAAGTCTCCACACTTCCATGACTTCACAGTAATAAATATTGATAGCATAAAATTGCTTGTATTTCTATTATGCTGCCAGAAATATAGAGTGGACCTTGGGATTTTCTCACAAGCAGCAGCACTAGCCACTCTTTGAATTACATAAATTGCAGTGTCTTTTGCTCCTCTTTACACACACACATACATACACACACACACACACACACACACACACACACATACACATATAGTTTAGGACTTTATTTTCACCTACATTAATTATAAGAGCCCCTAATATCTCACAGTCATTTTCTTCCTTCTGCTTCCTGTACAGCGATTAAGCACTTTTTCATGAATTAGACAAACACCATTCAGTATACCTTTCTCTATGTGTGTATGTGTTTGTGTGTGTGTTTTGTGTGTGTGTGTCTGTCTGTCTGTCTATCTGTGTATCCTAGTACTGGGGCTTGAACTTAGAGGTTCACTGTCTTGCTTGGCTTTTTCTGTCAAGGGAACACTCTGTCTTGAACTTGACCCACTTCCAACTTTTTGCTGGTAAATAGGAAATAGAATCTGTTGGACTTTTCTGCCCAGGCTGAGCTTGAATCATGATCCTCGTATCTCAGTCTCCTAGTAGCTAGGATTCCAAGCATGAGTCACCCATCAGCTTCGGCATCAATAGAACTTTCTAAGGGAATGTAAACATAACGTGCATGCATGTATGCATAAGTATATATGTATGTATGTATGTATGTATGCATGTATGTGTTTGCTTTATGTTTATGTGAAAATAAACTTTTATTTAATGTAATGGACAACAAGCATAATAGTTCATATTGGAAATCACAGCTACTCAGGAGGTTTCAGGCTAACCAAGGCAAAATTAGCAACACTAAACGCAGAAACCAAAAGGGTTAAGACCATAGCTCAAGTGGTAGATCACTTACCTAGAGTTTTCAAAGCCAAGGCTTTAATACTCAATACCATAAAAACAAATAAATGTAATAGCCATATATGGGTAATGACTGAATCATTAGCTAATAGAGATGGATGTTCTAACCTGTCTTCTCACTTGACCTTCCTCTAGGTTTTCTTGTATACTTTTCATACTGCTCTTTCAGCATAGGAAACCCATCCTTTAATATCATGAATAAATGTTTTTGAACACTCTGATATTCCAGGTTTTCCTGTTCATTATAACTTCACAAAAATGCTCCTTGGGTACATATTTTCTCTTTCAAAGTATATATGTGTGTGTGTGTGTGTGTGTGTGTGTGTGTGTGTGTGTGTGTGTGTGTGTGTGTGTGTGTGTGTGTGTGTGTGTATGTATATGGAACCAACCAAAGATCTTCACCCCACAGGTGAAGTGACTCATAAATATGAATCTTTGTGCCAGCTTTCATGGAATCTGAGATCCTTGCATCACAGCTTTATGATTTTTGATCCTCATGTCACTCAGTTGCCTAGTATGGTGTCTGGTACTTAAGAGCTAGAAAAAGATTTGAATGTGATAGTGTGACACACATCTAAAGACCAGAATGATAAAAGGTTCTCATATATCTTTAGATATTTTAAATTATAATATTTATGATGACTAGAAAGCTTTTGAATATTTTTTAAGAAAAGCTCAGTCAGTGAATGGTGAGACCATTTTAAAAAGTCTTTATGTTTAGATCATCCAACTTTAATGACTATGAATTTTTATTATTGGAATATAGATATATTTATACATACCCTGTTTCATTTACAAAATACTTTGGGCAGATCGCAAAGCTATATTAAGTGCACTTAATTTTATTTTTCTTTTAAAGAACAGAATACTTCAGATAGAATACTAAGAAGTGGCAGGGCAAAAGTAGGTAGACATAAATCCGTATTGCTCTATTCTATATTTGTTTAAAAAAATAGAAAAAAGTAAGTATTGAGCTTTACAGATTACAAAAGGAAGCTCTATATTTAATGATTCTTTAAGAGATGATAGTTAAGTAAAAAATATATTCCTCTGGTCTAAGTACATTTTCTGTCTATTTTGACAGTAAATCAGAGACGTTTGCAATGTTAGTTTAAATGATTTAAAATCCAGAGGAACAAAGCTTCTGAGGTGATTAAAACTATTCTGTGACATAAATTACAGGTACATGGGTGTGATTTTCTAATTAGAGACCATGAACTCCTTTGGTTACATAGAGATTCCTGTTCAGCTGGTATGACTGATTAAAAAGAAAATTTAGTTCAAATTTCCAGTGTGCTAGTATTATTTATATATAATACAATGGAGCCCTGAGTTCTCCCATAACCCTCAAGGATGTTCTTATAGACAGACCTAGAAATAACAGTCTATATGGGCATGTTTGAATGAATCTGTGTGTGTTTTGTCCCCCAAACGCTAGCACAAAATAATTAGATCTTGTTATCAAAGTCAGTGAACTGCAGGGCAAATCCTGCAAGTGAATTACTTCATAAGCGGTATTGTTTTTGCTTGATACACTGTATGTTTTGATTAATGAAGGTCTCCTGTTTATACTGACCTTTCTTTTCATGCAGGTGAAGATGCTTTTGATGCTCTTCCGCCCTCCCTCCCACCTCCTCCACCTCCTGCCAGGCATAGTCTCATTGAACATACAAAACCTCCTGGCTCCAGTAGCCGGCCCTCCTCAGGACAGGACCTTTTCCTTCTTCCTTCAGGTAGGAGGTTAATAACACAATGAAGACTTTTTTTTCCTTTTTATTTAAAGTGAAAGTCATTCTTAAGGGTTAGCAGGGAAAAAAATACTGGGTGGTAAGAATAACAATTTATACTATCTAAAGGATATGACATAAATCTCAGCAGATAAAATTTCAATATTGCAGTTTCTGTTTTTTGCATTTTCCATTTTTTAATTTATGTACATTGTTACAGGAAATTTTTCCAATATGCCATGCATATTGGAAAACAAAGGTTTTCAAGGGTCATAGGTGAACATTTCGAGTACTATTTGGTCAAGTATTTAATACCTTATACTATCTGAAGAAATATAGTGGATGGGTTGTGATAGGACTTCAGAGGAGAATAAAGTTGCAGAAATTTAACTCAATTTTAAAACAAAGATTATTAGCCAACAAAAGTCTAAAATTCCTGTTATTTATTAACTGCTACTATTCAGTCTGTGATATCTTAGGGCAGAATAGTGATACATGTTTTCTTAGTGGTATTTGAGATTTTCCTTGTGGAAATAGTTTAACCTAATTAAAAGAATGTGATAATTATCACAGAAAAGGAGGTTGAATTTTCTCATAATATTATATCAAAGGCCTAGCTAAATCTGTGTCTTTATTCTGGCATTAAATGGGCCCAGCTTGCCAGCCTTCCAGCTTTCTATGAACGGAACTTTCAAACTGCAGGGCAGTTTGCGCACAGGAGCCTCATGGCTCCTTCAGGCTCGGGGGAGAGCCAAGCAGAGACATGGCCCAGTTCTTCTTTTAGGTTTCCATTTTCATCCTTTCATACAATATTTCTTTTGGCAAAACAATAATGCCTAGTGCTGTACATGAGCCATCTATTCTGGAAAACTCAATCATATCTTAACAAAAGCTGGAGTTCTCAACAAAAGCTTCATGGTTCCTTGTCTCCAAACCCAAGGCAACTGCTAGCATATACGTGCTTTTCTGCTGTATTACACAAAAACATTCTTTTGTGCTGGTGGATGGGTTGAAACAGGCACCCCTCTTGTGACTCAGAGCCAGGAAAGGAACAAAGCAAGGGCAGCATTTATGTCTTGCTCATATTCTTCACCGGATGTCTTTGTGCAGGGCACAGACTATACAGCATCTTTGGCAACCCTTACTCTACTTTCTGTTCACTAGTATTTTCATGTGGCATCTCTTTTGAGGTTTTTAATCCAATCTTAGCATCACAATTCAACCCTAAAAGCTAGCAAATTGGACTTTACTCAAGACAAATGAAAAATTTCCCCATGGACTTAGAAATGATCTTGCCCAAGTAAAATGAAGAAAAAGCCAGATCATCACTAGTAGTTGTTGAAAAGATGCAATGGCCTTCGTTTGGCATGTCATGATATGTCTAGCAAGGGAGCTCATGCCTTCCTGAGGTTACTCTCTCAACTGGAAGTCAGAAGACCTTACTCTGCTCAGCCCATGTGGAGATTCAGCTGTGGAACACATTCAGGTGTTGAAGGGTCAAAGGGCAAGTGCAGCGATTCTCAAACTGTGGTCTCCCCATCGTCAGCCTCTGCATTTCCTGGATATTTGCTCTAAATAAATGCTTTACTAAATCAGAAACTGTAGGAGTGTACTACTCAGCAATATGTGTTTTCACAACTGATGCATGTTCATGCTTTGAAAATGCTGAGCTAGAATGTTTCCAAAAGAGTATCACCTCCAACAACTCAAAAGACTGATACATATCATGTGGAATTCATTTGTCTTCTTTTCAAGAAAATTAATGAAAATTCATATATTGAAATTATTCAATATTTGAGATATTTTAATATTGAAATTAATGAAAGCATGTTTTTTGCCTGAAGTCAGAAAATCCCCAGGAAACCTGGTGATAATTATTGCACTCAAACAGGGATAGATAAAATAGTAATTAACTAATGACTTTAAAATCCTGCCTTACTTTATCTAGTCCAAAATTAGTATAAAAATAGAAAACATTTTCAGCATAATTTTTCTTCTGAAATAGCCACATTCTTCTATATGCTTAATGCTAAACTCAAATGAAAGTTAAACCAATGAAATATATAGAATTCTTAATATTCTTATGTTTAATAATCTAGTTTTACTTGCCTGTTTTCTACATTTGAGTATAATTTGGAAATGTTACAGACAGTAGAAAAACTAAAAGAATTAAGAAAAAGTTCAATACTCTCTCTTCCCCCAAATAATTATTTGAAGATTTTACATAGAGAAATTTGTTTAATCCCTACAAATCCAAATGTCAGGTCTGCTTTTACAGATTTTTGTCTACCTAATACTAAAAGAAAATAACTGATTTGATAATCCTCAGAAAACATGATGATGATAATCGGTCATGAAATTCACTTTCTATTTTTGCAAGCTATAATCTTTAGAGAAAATTTCTAGAATTTTTCTCCTTCAACCAATAAACTGAGATCATCCCTTTACTTTTAAAAATGTTTTTTATTTTCAAGATCCTTTTTTTGACCTAGCAAGTGGCCAAGTTCCTTTGCCTCCTGCTAGGAGATTGCCAGGAGAAAATGCCAAATCCAACAGAGTATCACAGGAGTATGACCAGCTGCCGTCATCTTCAGGTGAGTTGGCTAATTATAGTAAGAATAACACCTTAGGTTTGCACAGTTGCTTTCTGCTGTTCAGAACACTTTTTTCTCCATTTAATGTATAATTTTGTCACCTTTGCATTTTAATTATAGGGCTTGTATTATGAAAAGAATGCCCACAAAACTGCCTCAGGGAGAAAAAAAACTCAGGCTGAATATTGTTTTTTATTAGCCAATGAGCCTTGTCAAGATTTATTCATTCTCTAACTTTTGTTTTGTCATATCAAATGTAGCAAAAGGGAAAAAAATGTCTTTGTATATTAAAATGCCATGTTCTCTTATTTCTCCATTAAGGAAGAAATCTCTTCAGAATTAATTCTAGCACCGAATCAGTTTTATTTTTCAGTACCTATTCATTCTCGTAGCTTATTTAGGGCTCCTGTGAATTGCAACCCCGCCCCTCCTCACAGAAGGCCTTGTAGCTATTAAATATGGGTCCTGCGCTGAATGTTAGTAATTAAAGACTTGGTTTCCGTGGGAGTCCTTCTCTGAATTTTTAAGCAGCTCCCTAATCTCCTGTAGTTACTTTACACCCTCTTCTGCTTTATTTGTCTTTATAGTAGCCGTCACTACCAGAAATTTCATCATTTATTGATTTGCTTAACTGTTGTTTGTCTTCCTTGCTAACATATTAGCACTTTGCAGGTTGGAGTATCACTGAGTACCTTGGTCAATTTAGAATGTTATACCTCAATACCATAGTCTATATGGCTTAACCAAATAAGCCTTTCTTTTCTCTCATTTCTGGAAGCTGGCAAGTTCAAGATCAAGGTGACAGCATTTAGTGTCTGAGAAAGAACCTGCATCTTCTTTGCATAGGGGTAGAGACTCATTGTGTCTTTACAAGGTCAAGGGAAGGCTGTGGGGTCTTTATAAGGACACTACTCTGGTTTATAAAGACTCAACTCTCACTCACTCCCAAATTCCATCACATAGGGGTTTAGGTTTCAACATAAGACTGTTATGGGGAGTGGAGGGGGGGGGGAACTCAAACATTTGGTTCCCCTAGCATAGTCCTGGACTATCATAATGCCCCCCGCTCATGGTTCTTGAATGGATAAGTAGGTCATGGGTGGATAGCAATGAATATGTAGGTGAGTATACAAGTGGATCGATGAGGAAGAGGAAGAGGAGTTGATGTCTCTGTGTTAGGCTTAATGCAATGTGTTATGAGCAATATTTTTGTCTTATATTTGTAAAAATGATGTTTTTCTTAAAGAGATTTTGTTTTGTGATTTTTGGGGTTTTGTTTTTTAAGCTCAAGCTTCACTTCACAGATTTGTTCATAGTAATAATCACCTTCGAACTCAGATAATTAAGAATTTTTTTTGAGAAAAAGCAACAGGAGATAGGTAGGTTCCTACTTGAGTTCTTCATGAGAGTCAGAACGCTTCTGCATGTTTTGGGGTTTTGTTTTTGTTTTGTGTGTGTGTGTGTGTGTGTGTGTGTGTGTGTGTGTGTGTTTTAAGTTTTAACATATGTATAAGTCAGAAAAACAGAAGATCATGTTGATTTTCAAGTTCTGGTCCATGTTCCCCTTTTTATTTCACTTGTAGTTGCTCAGAGGTTTCAGATGTGTATGAATAGACTGGATTTCTAGTCAAAAGGATAGATTTGATGGCAACACATGAAACTCAAGAGAAAATATCTTAATAGCCCTCATATAAGGAAATGAATTCTTTCAGAAAATAATGTTGAAATACAACGTTGAAACTTACTGATTTAGAACAACATATTCAAATACCACCAACTCTAGATTAAAAGATACATGTTTTTGGTTTTGGGAAAAGCTGTGGCCAAAACACTGCCAAGAACCTGTTTGCTGTGTAATATGAGCATGTTATGGAGCCCGAGTAACATTGGTCACAAACAGGAGTTCAGGTGGCTTACAATTAATATTAACTCCAGAAATTTCAGGAAGCACTGAGCTATAGGCCTTGCTGAAATGTTCCAAATTACCATTTACCAAGAGCTTGAATTGTTACCTAAGAAATAAAAGTACCAATTACTCTGAGGGCTTTGGCTAGTTGTAACATCAAGTATTTCAAGCTACTCCCTAAGCAGGTTTGTTAATGCAGCTTTCCAGCTTGTTTACAGAAGCAGAGACTGGCCTTGCTCTCTGAGGCAGATCTTCACATTCAAACCTTGAAACTAATGCTGGTCAAGTCTGTGACACTCTTATCTCCAATTAACCAACCCCAAAAGCCGGAAGGATGTGAGCTTGTGGCTCAAGTGGTAGAGCACTAGCCTGGAGCAAAAAGTGCTCAGAAATAGGGCTTAGTTCAAGCCCAGAACCAGCACTAAAAGCAGACAAAAACAAAAAAGCCTTGAGACTGGGTTACCAGGTGCCTTCAGGATTCTGGTAGCATTATTTTTCAGTAAATATTCTTTTTATTAAAGGTTTTAAAATGACTTAAGATTCTGGTTTGATTGTTGCAGCTTGAAGGTTAAATTCTGTTGTCTTCAATAGCTGTCTAAATAGTTGATAGTAATTTATTTATGCACACACTTTCTGTCAAGAATATTTCTAATGAACTTAGAAAGAGTTTCATTGAATTTAAAAATACTGTCCTTATCCTATTATCTGAAAAAGGGCGGAGGCATATATGTCTACAGATACAAATGTTCTCCCAAATGTTTCCTCCTCTCAAAGAAAATACTTTATAGACTTGGAGTTTTTAATGTAATAATTGATATTTAATCAAATGAATATGTCATGTAACTAATTAATGAAAAGGAGGATTTCACTGGATTGTGTTAAATTTGCATAGGTCTATATTTTGGAAGATTTTTTTTTTTTGGGGGATCTAGTCATGGGGCCTGAACTCTGGGCCTGGGCGCTGTCCCTCAGCTCTTCAGCTCAAGGCTAGTGCTCTACCACTTGAGCCACAGCACCATTTCCGCTTTTTTCTTTTTGCTTATGTGGTGCTGAGGAATCGAACTCAGGGCCTCATGCATGCAAGGTGAGGGCTTTACCACTGAGCCACCTTCCCAGCTTGTGGAAGATTTTTTGAAAATTCTTTTCAATTTGCTTTTCTCTTGTAATCTATATTGTACTAATGCATGTTCGGCATTAGCCTTGGCAAAGATTTTTCATATTGTCAGAATTTAAATGGCAGGAGATCTCATTACAAAAGGAAATAAACTCCAATGTACTTTTCTCTTACTAGATTAAAGGGAAGAGTGATGAAATGTTGAGTGAATTTTATATTAGGATCAATAGTCTGTAGGTAACCTTGTAAAGATCTCAATTAGAAATAATGGATGAGCTTAACAAAATAATTAGAATTGTGCCGTGTATAAATCATTAGTGATAAGACAAATTAAGGCAAATTGTTTTTAAGATTATGTTTTGTTTCATTTCAACGAAGGAAGTCTCAGTGTTGAATTTTACCATAGTTCCAGGACAGGAACAGGACATTTAGTTCCAGTTTTATAACCACAGAATGGTGTTTTTCTTACAGACCTAATAATAATAGTCTTTCTTGAGCACTTTCTGATGTAATCAAAGCACAGTATATTTGAAGATTTCTTATTCATGATTTTGTGAAATTGTACATTAGATCAAGTCCATTTATAATGAAACAGATTTTCCGGTGTAGCAAAAATTCAACTTTATATCAAAAATGGACTCTACAATTAATTGATTGATTTTTATAGTAGAGCAACAAAGATATGATCCCTGGGATTACAAGGAGAGCCATGACACTCAACTTTTCTTTTCATGGGAGTTCTCCATTTCCAAGTTTCTGTGCAGTTCTTTTCAAAATCTTTCTCTCTGCTCAGTTTCTCATTCACCTGCCTACACTTTCTTCCTAATTTCACTAAAGTATTTATTTGTATTTCTTTGGGTGTCGTTGGGATTTTTTTAAATAAGGATTCTTTTCAGTTCTTTATCAGCTGTTCTAACCATTTCAATTTTATTGGAATTCATTGCTGTAGTTACAGTGTGCTTTCAGAAGTGTCTGCATTGCTTTATTTCAAATTTCTGGATTCCTCCATTGAAGTTTGCACAACGGATAGATCAGCAGATACCTCTCTCGCTTTTGTAGGATGCCCTCCTTAGTAGCTCTCACATGCAGGTGTGCATGTGTCTGGGTTTAGTTTGTAATGCAGTGATTTGATTCTCATTGGGCTTCATGTCTCTGTGAGTCACAGTGGGGACATTTTGGCAAATGAGGGGTGATGTAGACAGTAGTGTGTATGGGATCACTGTGCATTGACTTACAATGGAAATGGTAGCCCTTTTGGACAACAGGATGTCTTCAGACAGTTCTAGTTCTAGGCCCCTGACACTGGCCATACCAGCAATGCTGAGGGCCTAAAGCACTGTCCTCCCACCAGTCAGTGGAAGCCCAGATACAGCTCAGGGAGAGCCAGAGGCAGAACCACAACACCCCTCTGTGGTGCTCACACCCAGTCCTGACAGCAGTGCAGGACAGGCAAGGTATGTGGGTGAGGAAAGGTTTGTGGGTGGACAGCAGAAGTATGGTAGGTTTTCCTCTTATCTGTGGTAAGTGAAACTCCATCCATGCTTTTCTGCTTTTGCTTATGGCAATAGTATGAGGCCTCCCACTTGCTAGGCAGTGGCTTTACCATTTGAGCCATGACCCCAGCTTTTTCTTTTGTATTTTTCCCTGGGACAGTTCTCACACTCCTAGCCTCCCATGCACCACCAAAACAAGCCCGGTTTATTTTGTTAAGATGGAGTATGACTAAATTTTGGCTAGTACTGGGCTGGGCTAGAACCATACTCCTCGGTTTCTCTACCTCCTAAATAACTGAGATTGCAGTATGAACCACCATGCCCAATTGCTATTTTATTTTAAATTCGGTTTTCCTCCAACCTCAATAGGACAGAACATTGTTAATTTGAAAAAATGAGGTAGGAAGAGATCCTACAAAGTGTGTTTTTCAGAGACTAGTTCTGCTCTGACAGAGGTGGGACACAGGACATTTTGGAATATAAAAATACTGTAATATCTATGAGCATAGAAAGATAGCATTTCCTAATTTAAAGGCACTTCAAGACAGTCACAACCCGTGCCATCATAGACGGAGGTAGTCTATGTGACCAAATAGTTTTAATAGTTTAGACAATATTTTTGATGCTTTTTTTTCTTCTTAATTCTTATTTCACCTGGCTTGAAGGAGGAAATATGGACTCAGGAATGAAAGTAGTTGTTCTTTAGTAGAACTATAACCTCAACTTTTTAATTTTCAAACTGGGGATAATATCTACCTCAACTTCATAATTTTCAAATCGGGACAATCTCTACTTACCACAGTTTAAAAGTTTATTTGTAAGAGTAGTAAAAGTAGCATTGGACCTGAAATCATATGAAAGTACTGAAGATAGTAGCATAAAACAATGAGATGCTACTATTCTGTTCTAATGTCTTCCTTTTTATCTCGCTGTTTCAATGGTATCACAGATGCCTCACAAGCACCAGCCAGACCCCCCAAACCACGACCCCGCAGGACTGCACCAGAAATCCACCACAGAAAACCCCACGGGCCCGAAGCAGCATTGGAAAATGTGGATGCAAAAATTGCCAAACTCATGGGAGAGGGTTATGCCTTTGAAGAGGTGAAGAGAGCCTTAGAGATAGCCCAGAATAATGTGGAAGTGGCCAGGAGCATCCTCCGAGAATTCGCCTTTCCTCCTCCAGTCTCCCCACGTCTCAACCTATAGCAGCCAGAACTGGATAAACACCCACATGCAAAGCAGAGCATGAAAGGAGAGGCTGGAAGTGAACTGCCAAGCGAAGGAGTCTCCTCCTCACAAGGCAGCTTGGGAAGGGAGGCCTGCAGCAGCTTCTGGAAGACTGTGTGCTTGCTCAGGATGGTCGAGGCTGCGGCTTCCTTGTTTTTGCTAGCCATACTTTGAAATCAGGGTTGAACTGACAAAAAAAATAATTTAAAGACGTTTACTGCTCTCGAACTTTTGAATCTGTGAAATTCTTTTCCTTGTTTACACGTTGGCAAAGTTGCAGTTGGGTTTTTATTTTGATCCCTGTACTGTGCTCCTGATGGCCCCTGGGTGAAGCTGTCAGGTCTGCTGTAACATCTCCCATCGCCTCCCTCGCTGTCCACATTAACAGCGAAAGCAACTCCTCATCTTCATCCTTCTACACCCGACCCCCAGCCCCGGGTCCAGTTCCATTTCTCCCATTTCCAGATGTTTTGAAGGTTCTGATTTTCAATGTATCAAACTATTGCAAAAAAAAAACAAAAAACGTGTGGTCTTCACTACTGAGTCTTTTCTTTGGAAACGATCACTGTTGAGAGATGGGAAAAACATGATTGTAAAGCATTTACTTGTCAATAAACTACCTTTCGTAAGGTTTTTTTTTTTAAAAAAAATAATGTTCAGGAACTTCCCATGATATAGTTGTGTAATCTTTCATTTTTTTCATATTCTCCATCTCTGTCATCCCAGGGATGCCACGAGGCTATAAAAATCTGAACTATTAGAAAGCAGCCGCTGCTCCCTACAGTGCCGTACTGAAGGAATGTAATAAGGTCTCCAGACACGTACGCTTGTATTGCTTTCAGGCTTGCTGAAAGAGAGAGCCATCTTCCTCAAATACGTTAATAGGCTTCAGACAAATATCATGAGCCTCCCTTTCCCAAAGTGAAATCAAGTCCATTTCTTTTTGTGTGATAGCACCCTCGTTCCTAAGAGCTATGGGCCATGCTTCACACTGCACCAAGTGCCAGGGCTACTGTCTATACACACACACACACACACACACACACACACACACACACACAAACATTATTCTGCAAAGTTCTTAGTAATTTTATCTCCCATCAAATCAGAATTCATACTGAATTTTTACGTTCTTCTCATTCATGGCTCCATTTGGCTCCATCCAGTATCCAATCCAGTGAAAGAACATAGTTTGCTCCTTTTTTTGTATGTGCACAATGGTGGATGGTCCTTCAGAAACCTATGTCATTTGGTTGAATAAATCAAAACGTATTTATTGAACATATACTATGTGCTTGCACTGTTAGGCACTGTGTTTGTAAAGCACAACCCCTCACAAGCTGCCAAAAGACTGATGGATGAAATCTGGAAAGTTTCTTGACTGCTTCTGAAGTTTGCAACAATTTGCTTTCTGTTACCCTTAATAACTCTATGGAGAAATGTTACCGAATTATGTTTGTATAAAATTATTGAACCCCATGATAGTTTTCTAATTATGGACTCATGTTATGGAGACAGCCATGTTGATCAGGGGAGAGAAACTGATGTATTCCTTTACAAAGTGATACTTGACTGACCTTAGAAGTGTGGCTTTCATGGGATGAGATACTTGAAGACTCACAGGACTTGCATAGTTTATGCTCTTATATGAATATGTTCAGGTGACTCAGAACTAGTTATGCCCCTAGGGGGAGCTTTTAATTTGCCTTAGATGCTCTTCTTGTGAGTATGTATGAGTACAGATTTTTACACTTCCTAAAATTGTATTGGCCAATTGTCTGTTGCTTTGTGAACTCCATGTAATGTCGTCATGATTTTTCACTTATCAATTTCTGATATCACATTGAAATAGCATTTTCTATTTTGGCCTTTTTATATGACTTGCTGTTGACAGATTCAATCAAAAAGCCAAAATTGCCATTTCATTATTATAATATTTTTAATAGAGAATAATGTAAAATAGGAATAGTGGGAAACACAGCACATTCTTGTCCAGTTTTCAAATAATAGACAAAAGCTTTCAGTGAGAAATTAGAAAAAAGGCATAGTAAAATTGTAAATTTGGATCTGATGTTGGAAAAAAATACGAAGGCTTTTGCAAAAATTGTTCTAGCCTCTTACCAAAATCTGTGTCTTGACCTCAATAGTAGCTCATAATTTGCTTATAGGCAGCAGGAGTCAAAGATGTTGTAATCCATGAAATATAAAGAGGAAAACTTTTTTTAAATCAAACACCAGTAGAGCAACTGAGAATTTATCTACTGCCTATGATACTATGATCAAAGATGTTTCTGAGGAAATAATTAAACCTAAATATTATTATAAAAATGATGACCTGTTAATGCTTAGAAATGATCCAGATATTGTTCATTGAGATCCACAAAGGTAAACTTTCCTTTCATTTCTCATGATTCTGTTTCTAATAGAATTGTTTTATCATAATCCATAATACGGCAAATATCAATTCCTTGCCCCCAAATATGTCTAGGGATGGAAAGATATAATGTGCCCTCAATGATGTTAAAGTAATTATTTTTCCAGGATCTGTTTTTCTTTTTCAGTCTCATGTTAAACTACACCCAGATCTTCTAGAATTCTTTTAGATTCTAGATCTTCTAAAATCTGACCATTGTGTGCGTAATTTGAAATTTCTTCCACAAATTCTACCTTTGGCCCTTCTCTATTTCCCCTTGCCATGTTGCAGTCTTTAATAGTAGAGACCCTAATCACAACCCAAAAGGCAACATTTGTTAACTTGGCATTTCACACACCAAGAACATTTGCAAACATTTCTTCATAATGTGAACATTTAAAATTTTCAGTTCCAAAAGCATTTCCTTCAGTTTGGATATTACTCTTCCTCTCAGATGTTCAACTTGAAGCTTTCATTTGCACTGAATTATCTAACCTGATTTTTAAAAGCCTATCTGAAATTGACAGATTGGGGAGTAAAATACAATATATTTTAAATAATAATGCAGGTACTGCCTTGTTAAGCTGGATTTTTAGTGCTACTAGGAAGAGTTCCCAGGGGAGGATAAAGACAGCAATGGAGTGAAGAGTTTTCTTCTCAATTAGTATTTCATTGTTTAAAAATGCCTTTTGAAACTTGTCCAATGTGACAAAATACTTATATGTTCAATTAATTTATATTTTCTTCATTCTTTTTTTTCGATTCTGGTTATTATGTAAACTTAAATACTATATCTGTTCTTTTAATGTATTTTATAAAATGAATGTTAACAAAATGAAAAGTATTGTTATTTGTTCAAATGAAAATGGGTACTTTAGAGCACTTCTATATATTTTCTTCCTGCTAAGAAAAAGACAGGTGTTGGGAAGGTGGCTCAGTGGTAGAGCACTTGCCTTGCATGCCTGAGGCCCTGGGTTTGATTCCTCAGCACCACATAAGCAAAAAGAAAAAGGCTGGAAGTGGGGCTGTGGCTCAAGTGGTAGAGCGCTAGCCTTGAGCTTAAGAGCTGAGGGACAGTGTCCAGGCCCAGAGTTCAGGCCCCACAACCAGACCCCATCCCCCAAAAAAAGAAAAGAAAAAGGAAAAGACAAACCCTTAACAGTAGCTCACACATATAAGCTACTCAGGAGTCTGAGATGTGAGGATCTCAGTTCCTAGCCAGCCATGTCAGACACAAAGGCAAGACTCTGATCTTTAATCAGCAAAAAGCTGGAACTGGAGATGTGGCTCATATGGTAAAGACCTGGCTATGAAAGAAAGAAAAGGGTGAGAGTTTTGCCTTGATTTCAAGCCCCAGTACTGGAACCAATACCTGAATAGACAAAGGGAAATTTTTCAGTGATATGTAGTATCTAATAATCAAACATTTTTATGCTTTAGTAAGCAGCCTCATCTTTAAAATGGAAATAATGACCATACCTGTAGAAAACACTGTGAGAAGATTTGATGAGTGAATGCAAGCAATTTTAAAAAGCATACTCTGCTACTTAATGAATACTATCTACATGACAGTTAACATTACAATGTACACTACCCAGGAAAATTGTCACTCTGTCACAGAATCCTCAGAATAGGCAGTAACAAGAAGTATGTCTGAGATTTATATAGCAAAAAAAAAAAAAAGTTCTGGTAGTTTTAAGACAACACTGGAATATGATTATTCTACTTAACCAGAAGACATTTGAATCCTCAAAACGTTATAATCCATAAATTCTACCAAGCAAGACCAGAGTTGAGATTTTCACTTTGAGCCTCTAGTAGCATCATCATGCACTCAATGAGTGTTTATCATTCAAGCCCTGTGCAATAGAAAGCACGTATCAAAGATGGTTGAGCTAGCCAATCTGGGTCCTGGGTCCCTCAAGAGTTGCTTTGAATTTTAAAATCTAGTTTGTGTAAAAAGTAATTCATCCTGTTCTTGGAGTACAACCTATCTGGTGGATCTCTTTAGGCCCTGGGTGGCAGAATGGGAAAGAAGTTTTCTTTATAGAATGAGACTAAAGTTACAGAACTGAAATCCACACACAGAAACTCAATGCTCCACATTCTAGGAAACCACTGTAATAAATACCTGTAAAGCCCCTTAAGAGACTGGAGGCAGAGCTCCTCTCCAAGGAACCCAGAAAATAGAAGCACAAGATTATGGATTCAGGGCCTGACAAGGAAGAAATGAAGCAATGAATCAGAATGTTACAGATTGAGTCCTTCTCCATCAGTGCAAGTAGCAATACCTCCATGACAAAGGTGATTATACGTACAAGGAATTACCATCATATTCCATTATACATACACAGTAAGCTTACAGATATTTCATCTGTGGGTATCAGAGCAGAGTAGAGGTATATGGTAGACTTTCATGGTATATTAATTGACAGGTGTCACTACTATAGAAAAGACCAGATAGGCTTCCCAGGGGACACACAGACTCCAGTCAAGACAACCTAGTTTTGAACCATTGTAATGGAACTCAAGAAAGCTGCCTACAGGTGCATGGACACAAGAAGCTCTTGGGCTTATACTAGTGAATGGATCAGGAGGGAGTTTGCCATGTCAGATAATAAAGAGCCTAGTGAATGGTCACCTATAGAGACAAGCTCAGAGCCAGTGTCTGCATTTGGAAACAGTACAAAGGCAAAATAGAAAATCAGTTGCACGGACTCCATGCCCATGTGTCTCTTTGTGATCGTTCCTGTGTCTTGTCTCTCTCTAGTTATCATGGCATCCCAATTCAGCTCCCCATTGGAGCTGATTTGGCTCATTGGCACTGGTGGCTCACACCTGTAAAGCTAGCTACTCAGGGTCCGGAGGAAGATGGCAGAGAAGCTGGAAGCTGAAACAAGCTCTCACATAGAGAGCAGCTCTAGGGTTCCAGTGAACAGTCCTAGGCTAGAGAATCACACCAAGTGTGCCATCATGGTACAGAGAGTTTGGCCAGAGAGGAAAAATCCAGGCAGCCTGGTCTAGGAGACTAATCTTAGCACTTGCTGGTAGCCGCAGCAGTGGCAGCCATGGCTGCCATATCAACGGAGAAAGTCCGGGAAAAAGATGAGCGGATTCTACTCACCATCAGCAAGAACTGACAAGGAGCAGAAGTCTTCATCCTGCTGATCACAAACCAGGGATGGCCCAAGAACCAAGAGTCTGCTGAGAGTAGACACAAGATATCCTCACTCCTTCTCACAGAGCAGTGGTGGGAAGGTAGCCCCTCCCCCACCACTGGAGATCTCTATCTTTGATACTGACAAAAGCCCAGCTGAGCAGCTAGCTCCAACTCAGGCCTTGGAAGAAAACAATAGGAGCCATTCAGCAGGTCACAGGAACCTGACCTGACCTGCCAGGCTCAGCTCCACCCAGGGGAAAGTGACCCAGCCCAGGCAGAGAAAGCCCCTAGAGTAGTGACTTTCTTCACGGGGTAAACAGCCAGAGGCTGCCCCTCCCCACTACAGCCTAGACAGCAGGAAGAGTAAAAGACAAACAATTGAAGCTCAGTAAACATAAACCCTGAGAATGTTTCCAGGCTGGGCTCTGTGAGTGTCTCAGGAGCTGGCCCCTCAGGAAAAAGCTACTGATTGCTGATAGGCCTCAGTCATACCCAGAACCCAGCTTCATCACAGCAACTCCAAGGTAGAGGCAATATCTCTCTTTTGTGATACTCAAAGCAGATCTCCCACTGAACTAGCTTGGGAGGAGGATCACAAACTCCTGGGTAAGGCAGAGATTCTTTCTGACTATGCAAACAAACTGACTTAAGAAACCAATCAAGCCACAGGAAAACCAAACACCACAAGCAGACCAGAGACTACACCAACAGACTGGTTATGGACAAGATTCCTCCCCCCCCTGCAAGGCTGCTTGCCTTAAAATAGTGTTCTAGCATAAAATTGGTGTTACTTTCATACCAAATGGGCAGAAAAAGATGGAGAAGTACAAGAAAAATGGCAAGTCCAGGTATTTCAACACACACTCATGATAATCATTTTACAAAACAGTTAATGAATGATCCAGAGGAGCATTCCCAAAAAGCTCTACAAACATTACTGGTAAACATGGTGAATGAAAAGACTGAAAATCTGCAAAGGACTCAGTGTGCACATGATAGGGAGCAAGACAAGGCTAACCAAAGATTAATACAAGAACTTCATGAGCATGATGAGGCTAACCAAAAATTAATACAGGTATCTCATGAATGTGAGGAAGCTAATCATAGATTAATAGAGGAATTACATGAGCAAGCTGAGACCAGTCAATGAGAAATACAAGGATTGCATGAGCAGGGTGAGAACAATTGAAGAGAAATACAGGAATTGCATGAAGGTGAGGAAGCTAATCAAAGAGTAAAACAGGATTGCATGAGCAGGAGGAGAATAAAAAAAGATCAATAGAGGCATTCATAGAATCCATAAACAGACAGCTGAAGGAATCCAGGGAGACCACAAAGGGAATGCTGAATGGAGCCCATCAGAAGGAAAGGGAGTCCAAGGAAACCATAGCCAATCAACTAAGTGATTTGAGAATAGACACTGAACACCAAATTAAGGAAGTAAAGAAGTTCATACAAGATCTAAAACAGCTCCAACAAAGAATTTGAAGCCATCAAAGCCAACCAATTAGAAGGAGAGGAAATAAAAAACACAGTAGAAAGTCTTGATAGTAAGTTAGACCATGCAGATCGAATCTTGGGGATTGAAGACAGCCTAGATAATATAGAGAAAGAGCATACAACTATCTAAGACAAATCCAAGAAATATCACAGATCTATTCAACATTTGGAAGACACCAGCAGAAGGCCTAATCTGAAGATAAAGAGTGTAGAGGAGTTCCTAGTAATGTTCTAGAATATTTATTTAACAAGATCCATGCAAAAAGATAGGCCTATTCAGATACAAGAAGCTTTTAGAACCCCAAATACACCAGACCAGAACAGGACATCCCACTGTCATAATATGCACAGGATGAACTCAGACCAAGGAAAGGATCCTTAAAGCTGTCAAGGAGAAAAGATTAATCATCTATAAAGGGAAACCAATTAGAAAAACCTCATATTTCTCAGCAGAGACAATTAAAACAAGAAGAACCTGGAATTATATATGCCACGCTCTAAAGACAAACAACTATCAACCAAGAATACTGTACCCAGCTAAACTCTCCTTCATAACCAAAGGTCAAATAAAAACTTTCCAAAGCAAAGAGAAACTGAAACAATATATCTTCACCAAACTAGTACCAC